AGAGGCTTCAGTCAGCGCGAGGGGGTGGACTTCTTTCAGACTTTCGCTCCTACCCCGAAGATGACTACTCTTCGGGTGCTGCTACACGTAGCGGCTCAGCGTGACTACGAGCTTCACTCCCTCGACTTCTCCACTGCCTTTCTTCAGGGCAGCCTTCACGAGCAGGTCTACCTGCGTCGCCCTCAGGGCTTTACTGGCACCTTCCCCCCTGGGACCCAGTGGCTTCTGCGGCGGCCAGTCTACGGCCTGCGCCAGGCGCCTCGTGAGTGGCACGACACTTTGCGTGCTACCCTTGCTGACCTGCAGTTCTTTCCGTCCTCTGCAGACCCCTCGCTCTTCGTTCGTGCTGGCCAGACTCCGTTCTACATCCTCGTCTACGTAGACGACCTGGTCTTTGCCACTGCTGACAGGGACGCACTGGCCTCCGTGAAGGCAGAGCTGCTGAAGAGACACACCTGCACTGACCTTGGAGAGCTGCGCCGTTACCTTGGCTTGCAGATCTCAAGGGACAGAGCCGCGCGCACCATCACCCTGACTCAGTCACACTTGGTGCGCCAGGTCCTTCAGAGGTTCGGCCTTCAGTTCTCCTCCGCACAGCCCACCCCTCTTCCTCTGGACCACAGACTCTCCGCTCCAGTTCCTGAGGAGTCGGTAGATCCCAGTGGTCCTTACGCTGAGCTAGTGGGTTGCCTCATGTACCTGATGACTTGCACTCGCCCAGATCTCGCATACCCTCTCAGCATCCTGGCTCGTTTCGTGGCCACAGGCAGGCACCGACCTCAGCACTGGTCTGCCTCTAAGAGGGTTTTGCGTTATCTTGCAAGTACATCGGGCATGGGGTTAGTGCTAGGCGGACGCAGGCCAGTGGTCCTTACTGGACACACAGACGCTTCTTGGGCAGACGACGCCGAGACGCTCAGGTCTTCCCAGGGCTACTGCTTTAGCCTTGGTTCAGGTGCTGTCTCGTGGAGAGCTACCCGCTCTTCGTCTGTTGCCCAGTCCAGCTGTGAGGCCGAGATCTACGCCGGTGCCATGGCGGCACAGGAGCTCCGCTGGCTGACCTTCTTGCTCACTGACTTAGGTGAGCGGCCTAGCTCTGCCCCGGTCCTGTACGCTGACAACAGGGCCATGATTCTCCTGTGTCAGGAGCCTCGACTCGAGGGCAGAGCGAAGCACATCCAGCTGCGGTACTTCCTCCTGCGTGAGCTACAGCAGCGTCGCCAGGCTCGCGTAGTACACTTAGCCTCCGGTGCCAACACAGCTGATATCTTTACGAAGGCGCTTGCGCCTAAAGATCATCAGCGGCACTGTGTGCAGCTTGGTCTGGTTCCTGTAGTCTCTCACTTACTCGGGCCTTGACTCTGTACTGTCCTATATATCTGTGTGTACACTCAGACTGGACTTGTGTCCTCTTACAGTGGTTGGACTAGTAGTGCCGCCCTGTACTAGTTCTTGCCTTGCCTGTACTCCTTCTGACTGGTCTTTTAGACCCTTGTCTCAGAGGCTGGACTAGTAGTGCCACCCTGAGCTGCTTGTCTAGAACATTCCCCTATGCAGTCCAGGGGGTGTGTCAAACATGTTTAGTTATCATGCTTGTATAGACTGTATAGGGTCATCTTCTAGAGAGTACAACAGTTAGGTATATGTTTGTGTACTCTCTCTCTCTATTCATTAATTTCACTGTTTGATAGTACTGCCCTGGTGTACGTTTCTTTGTTATGAACTTCCACTATCTCGGCTAGGGGGTGTGTCAACAAATATAATTATCTGGGCTAGCTAATTTATCTTTGTTATAGCCTTTGTTAGGTCAGTTCTTAGAGCGTACAGTCCTACCTTTGTAACCCTCGACATTTTCCCTTAGTTCATCATTCTCTCGACAATCTAACATTATTACCTACCGTATTCCCCCGGATATACGCACCGCCGGCTAATACGCACCCTGGTGCGTATATCCGGAGGGGTGCCATATCGGAGGTGCCATCTATACGCACCCGTATAATCACAGGTGTCTAATCCCTATAAGCACCCCCCCAAAATAGCTTAAATTTCATGAACATAGTTCATTAAAGACATTTTAACATTGTAATTAGATATAAGAAGTCAGATCTATATTAGTTAACTTCTACAGTTACATCATCTACCATGCTCTACAGCCCACACCTCGACTACCTAAACAGATTCACAGCCTCCAATTTCTATAAGTTTAGGGTCGTCTACCATGTCCTACAGTCGTCGCATCGTCCATGTGCACTCCATCTCAACCCTCCTCGTCGTCGTCGTCCTCCTCGTCCTCCTCGTCCTCCTCGTCCTCCTCATCATCCTCCTCCTCCTCCTCAGCTGTGGTCGAGTTGTCCCCCGTGAATCCGTCGGCCCCGGTCTCATCGTTGACATCCACGGTGGGGTCTCTCATGTGCCTCAGGCACAAGTAGTCTTCGGAGCCATCCAGGGCATTCGAGATTCCGCAAGTTTTGAATGCCTTCTGGATAAGGGCGGCAGGGACAGCCTTCCACGCCTTGGAGACCCATTTCAGGGTCTCCTCTGGTGGCGGCTTCTTCAGGTTTCCTGAAGCAAACAAAGAACACACCATTAGATATTGGTGTGAAGATGGAGCATAATCCGCACAGCAAGGGTGAACAACCTAACCTTTGGGGGTGAAGATGGTGCAGCCGACGCGGTCGAACCACTCCTGGTAGTACGCGCGAAACAGTGCCTTGAAACTGCGGTTCACGGCCACGTCGAGCGGTTGTATGACGGAGGTGCAGCCGGCAGGGATGATGCCGGGCACCACGTGGAGCTTGCCGTAGAAGTCCTTCACTTCAGGGGTGAGATGACCGCGGTATGAATCCAGGATGAGGAGAGCAGAGCGGGCACGGAGGCCGAAGTTGGGCTTGATGAACGGCTTGACCGCCTTCTCAAGCCACTCTATGACACCAGCGGAGTCCATCCATCCATTTGGTTGGGCGGCTACCACGACATCTACATTGACAAAATAGAATCCGTTAGTAAAATCTTTAAAATCAAGGAGAGGCATACACAGACAACTCAAAGTGCACGAATAAGGCTTACCGGGAGGGAAATTTCCCTTGGGTACGGTCGCCCGCTTGAAAAAGACCCACGGCTTGAGCTTCTCGCCTGTGGCCGTGCAAGCGAGCATCACTGTAACGCGCTCCTTGTGATAGCCCGCGGTCTTGATCGGCACCGAGTTCACCCCGACTTGCTCCACGGTCCGCTCTGCTGGCATCTCCAACCAGACAGGCGTCTGGTCTGCGTTGATGATCCAGCGGTCGTCAATCGAGTAGCCCCTCCTCGCATCACGACAGAACTGCCAGAAGGACTCCACTTGTTCCTTGCACTCTGCGTTCACGTGCAAGAAAAGTATGATGAAATTAGCAGAGAAACAAGTTTCAACAGTTCCACAATTAACATTTGAGGAAGCATGTACTGTACCTTCGGTCATTTTCTGGCCGACCTTCGTGCGGGCCCGAACAGAGAGGCCCCATCGTTTTCTGAAGCGAACACTCCACCGCTGTGAAGCCATCCACTTCACGTCGGGGTGCATGGTCTTCATCAGCTCCCTCGACCACTTCTGCAGCTTCTTCACGGGTACAGGCGTCCCTTTCGCGCGGTCTTTTAGGAACTTCTCATACACGACAAGCTCCATGTCGTGGTACCAGCTGCGGCGCCCATGGCCATGCAATCGCTTGCGGCACGAAGCAGCTTCCTTCAGCTTGTCCTCCGCGAGCTCCCACTCTCGAATTCGACGGCGCGAAATGCCCGACTCGCGCTGCACAGCTCGTCGGTTCCTATCGAGCGCACGCCATCGCTCCAGCCAATACAGCTTTTCCTGAGAAGTGTACGCCCTTCGCTTGCGCTGTGTCATCCGAGATCTGGGGGAGGGAGGGCGGCTGTCGAAATTTGTTGTCGTTGGATGAGGGCGGCTCCGACCTTCGGGGAATGTTGGGATGGGCAGCTTCTCGGGCAGCCCATCACGGTGCCAGTACTCCGCCTCCTCCTCATCCGTTTCCTTCCACTGGTCGTGCTCCGGCCAGTTGTCACCGTTGGGAATCCCCCAGTCGCGAGCGCGCGGGGATTCGAGAGCCTCCTCCTCGTCCGAGATGCTCTCCACGTCGCATCGGTCGGGCTGGGGCGGGAACGGGTTGCCGGGTAGAAGTAACGTCAGAACAGGAACTCCGTCGACCTCCGTCAAGGGCAACCGCAAAGACCATGGTCGCGAGCTTCCAGGAACGGAGGGCGCTGGAGGGGCCGGAGGTGCCGGCGGTGCAGGAGGAGCCGGGGGAGCGGGGGGAGCGGGAGGAGCGGGAGGAGCGGGAGGAGCGGGCGGCGCGGGAGGAGCAGGGGGTGCAGCACGGAAACCACTAAATCTACTAACTCGGGCAGCAGCTATGTCCTGTCTAGAGAGGCGTGTTGGTGTACCAGGGCTGCCGAACAGTACAGACATAGCTGTGGGTGGAAGGCCAGCCATGGCGGCGGCCTGGCGAGAGAGGACGCATGAGGACGCTCATTCGAAAAGCTACTGAAATAATGAAGCTTCAACCAGGGTGTTCCTCAATTCCTCAGCGGGGAATTCCTCATCGTGCAGCCCATGACGGTGCACGAAGAGGATTCCTCTTCCTTTCCGAGCTGAGAGGGCACCGTCGTGGCATGACGAAGCTACCAGCAGATTCTTCTCGAACTTCTAGCTCGCCTTGCGGATGCTGCCCGCCGAGCATGTGGCTGCGATTGGACCGCCAAACAGCATATTCGCACAAAAACTCCAACGCCGCATCACCAACACATGAGATGTGACAGCGTCCGCGCCGCTGTGCTCGTGGTTGGTCCGTTTGGCTGCATCCACACAAGCCTGGCTGGTTCGATGTTTCCGGACCAGATTCATGCGAATCTCTGTTGTATTCGCTGCTGCAAATATCTGAATAAACGTTGGCGGGTGTTAGATGCACATTTCGATGCCGTTTTTTTTCTTCTCAAAAAACCATTTTAAACGCACTGGGCCATATTGAAAAAATTCGAATAAACGCACCCCCCAAAATTTGACTATAATCCCTAAACGCACCCCTGCGCGTATATCCGGGGGAATACGGTACCATGTCCTGTGCAGTGACCTTGCCTAAATCTCCACACCTGTACTTGAACCCATGCATTCAAAAGTTCTCTGCATGTTATACTGGTAGTAAATACCCAAAATCTACTTTGCAAGCAGCTGCGATATGGCAATCTTTCACTACCCATAGCCCTCCTTGGTCTGCCCCATCCTCTTTCTCACTCTCCCGCTCTCGCGTGCATCTCACTCTATTCGTTTCACTGCTCCCCCCCCCAAACTCTTTCCCCCCCCCTCCCCAGCCCCCTCTCCTCTCCTCACTCCACTTCCCCATGCTTTGGTCCTTCCTCTCTCACCTTTCCTCTGCCCCATCTCACATACAATGCCTATGTAAATCTCCAAGAGAGTACCAGCTGATGGTGTCTCTGCTGCCCACCAACATGCTGCTGCTCCAACCTCGTTCAGTGCCCCTCCTTGCCCCTGAATCTAGAAGCGCAGCGAAGCCACCTGGTGTGGCGTGGCAACCACCAGAGGAGCCTCTGGAAGAGACGGCCCTGAGTAGTTATCATGCATGAACTTGGAATCAATCACTGACTCGCTACGAGGGGCCACACGGTAGCACGTGCACTCCTTGAGGCGGCCAACCTGGCGCGTGTAGCACTCGTGCTCGAGCTGCTTGACCCGGCGGAAGGACCAGATGACAGTGTACTTGTCAACTGTTGCCACAATGTGCTTCTCCTGCCGGTCGCTCTCAGTCACCTGATCACGGCAGCCGCACACAATGGAAAACGGAAACACAACTTTGTACATGGGAAGGTACGTATGAAGGCTAAACCGAGGAGCCATACATATTAAGTGCCCTGGAAAAGTCAGCCCCAACCGAAGGAGCCATGCCCAACCCGAGTGCCCAGCTCACCCATGAGAAGCGGGCGTTTTGGAATTTGAAGTTCCCAACCATCTGTGCATGCTCTGGGGTAAGCTTTAGCAGCCTTGCGGCAGCAAGGTTGCCACCGGCCCTGGCAACGAATGCTGAGCGCTCCTTGCCCTCCTTGTCCCGGAACCCCGTGCAGATGAGAATGAGCTTCTTGTCCGTGGTGGCGATCACCCACCGCCCGTCGTACGTCACATCAATGTGCGTGATGGCGCCCCCAAGGCCCTGGAAGGTTGTCTTCGCCTGCCATCGCGGTAAAAGAGAGTCGACACAAGAGTCAAATTTGATGACACTGAAAACTGGGCACATGAACAGAGAAGATCAAGCAGACGAGAGGGGAAGGCAGCAGACCTGGCGCATGGTGGTTGTGGAGTAGAGGCGGATCTTGCCATCCCGCGAGCCGACCGCCACGCACCCCTCGCCCGTCGTGGCAAAGCACTGGAAGTTGGTGCCCCGCGCAAATTGGTGCCCATCGGACCAAGTGAGCGCGGCTGGCGATGCCAGGGTGGTGGCCAGCGTCTGCACTCGCCCCGCCCTGTCGCGCATGTCCCAGCGGCACAGGCGGTTGTTGTCGAGCCCCAGAAACGTGGAGACGCCCGCCTGCAGCTGTGCGGCCTTGCTGTCGGCGGTGACGTCCAGCATGGAGATCTCAGTGCCGTCCTTCTCGAACTTCCACTCCGCCACCACCTTCTGCGCCTCTATGTCCAGCTGCCGCAGCCCAGCCGCATGTGCAGGGCTGGCCGCAGCGTTGGCCGCGCTGGGGGTCATGAGCAGCATGGTGGCTTCGCGGCCCAGCAGCAGGCCCTTGGCGGCCTTGGCGGGCGTGGCGCTGTCCGCCATGCTCAGCTTCTCCAGCGCGATGCTCAGCCCGTCCACGTGGTGCACGCCGTCCTCGCGGTTCTTGTACACGTCGATGCCGCCGTCGTGGATCAGGTAGCTGTTCTCCAGCGCGCCCATGGAGAACCCCAACGGCTTCTTGCCTTTGGGCGTCTCCTCGTAGCTTTCCGTGATGGAAGACTCTTTGCGCGACGACGGCGATGACCCGCCTTCTCCGTCCGGCAGCTCGTCAGACGCATCCTCCCACATCGCTCCCTCCGCGTCCTCGCCCTTGGCCCACCCCACAAACTCCTTCCCCAGCACCTTGGCCGCGTTCGCGTCGGTGTACGACACGCCGTGGGTGTTTTCGAAGAGACACGCGTCGTACTGCCGGCAGAAGTCACCATACTCGTCGTCGCTTGCGAACTTGATGGCCCACACGCTCTTGGCGTCAATGAAGTCCACGCGCCGCTGCTGGTCGTTGAACCGGATGTTCAGCCCGTCGCCCACCCGCACGCAGATCCTTCCCGCCACGACCAAGTACCAGTGTCCCTCGTCCTCCTCCTCTTCCTCCTCGCCTTCGGGCTTGTAATCGTCGTCGTCGTCGTCATCGTCGTCGTCGTCGTCGTCGCGCTTCCTCTGCGGCGGATTTTGGGTGAACTTCCAACCAATCGACTTGTCCACTAGCTTGTACTGACCGCCCTCACTGGATCGCCAAAGCCGCGTCGCTGGAGCCTTCTTACTGGAACTTGGGGCAGCCGCCGCCGCTGACGGGGAGGCTGCAGCTGGCCGAGGCGACACTGCTTCCTCGTAGTCATCGTCCAATAAATCAGGACGGCTATGATCGGCCCCCATGCTGTTTCGCAAGTCTCGAAACGGCAGGGGTTTGAAGGATCTTGAACAAGACGGAACGGAACGAAACGAGACGATCAGGTTAATGCGCACCAATTAATCGAAGTAGTGTTATGTACCTCTCCAGCGTGAGACAGAAGCCTGTGTGCAGACACTCCCAAGGTTCCAGGCCTAATCGCTAGCGTGTGCCGATGAGAAACAGATTCTCTTGAGAGTGGCCTTCCCAAGGCAGTGCGAGTTCCCGAGGGCTGGTTGCGCACTCCAGCCAGCAGCTCACTCCCAGCCCTGACACATGGATCGACTCGCCCAGAAAACTCCCGCGCAAAGTTGCTGTGCAAATCAAAGCTATACTGTACACTGACGTGAATCCGGCGCTAAAAGCATCATAACACATTTATCTTATACCTTGCTATAAACAACGAAAAGTGGAAGGTGAGATGACCACATTCACTATCAGGTGGGATCTGGTGACAATTCTCGACTTCTGGATGGTTGATTATAGCAAGGATTATATATCTCTTATGGAACTGGCGTGCACATCAAGCTGCTTAGCTATTTCAGTACATGGTAACTTCATGTCAAAATTGGAGAAGAGAATGTTGGATAGAGTGACAGTACACACAAATATACCTAAGTGTTGTACCCTCTAAGAGGCGACCCTATACAGTCTATACAAACATGACAAATACACATGTTTGACACACCCCCTAGACTGCATAGGGGAATGTCCTAAACAAACAGCTCAGGGCGGCACTACTAGTCCAACCTCTGAGACAAGGGTCTGAGAGACCAGTCAGAAGGAGTACAGACAAGGCAAGAACAAGAGCAGGGCGGCACTACTAGTCCAGCTTCTGGAAGAGGACACAAGTCCAGTCCGAGTATACGTATAAAGGACAGTACAAAATCAAGGTCCTAGCAAGTGAAAGGCTACAGGAACTAGACCAAGCTGTACACAGTGCCGCTGATGATCTTTAGGCGCAAGCGCTTTCGTAAAGATATCAGCCGTGTTGGCACCTGAGGCCAAGTGTACTACGCGAGCCTGACGTCGCTGCTGTAGCTCACGCAGGAGGAAGTACCGCAGCTGAATGTGCTTTGCTCTGCCCTCGAGTCGAGGCTCCTGACACAGGAGGATCATGGCCCTGTTGTCAGCGAACAGGACCGGGGCAGAGCTAGGCCGCTCACCTAAGTCAGTGAGCAAGAAGGTCAGCCAACGGAGCTCCTGTGCCGCCATGGCACCGGCGTAGATCTCAGCCTCACAGCTGGACTTCGCAACAGACGAGGAGCGGGTAGCTCTCCACGAGACGGCACCTGAGCCAAGTCTGAAGCAGTAGCCCTGGGTAGACCTGAGTGTCTCAGCGTCGTCTGCCCACGAAACGTCTGTGTGCCCAGTAAGGACCACTGGCCTGCGTCCTCCTAGCATTAACCCCATGCCCGATGTACTAGCAAGATAACGCAGAACCCTCTTAGCGGCAGACCAGTGCTGCGGTCGGTGTCTGCCTGTGGCCACAAAGCAAGCTAGGATGCTGAGAGGGTATGCGAGATCTGGGCGAGTGCAAGTTATCAGGTACATGAGGCAACCCACCAGCTCTGCGTAGGGGCCGCTGGGCTCTACCAACTCCTCAGACACTGGAGCGGAGAGTCTGTGGTCTACAGGCAGAGGGGTGGGCTGTGCAGAGGAGAATTGAATGCCAAACCTCTGAAGGACCTGGCGCACCAAGTGTGACTGAGTCAGGGTGATGGTGCGCGCTGCTCTGTCCCTGGAGATCTGCAAGCCAAGATAACGGCGCAGTTCTCCAAGGTCAGTGCACGTGTGTCTCTTCAGCAGCTCTGCCTTCACGGAGGCCAGTGCGTCCCTGTCAGCTGTGGCAAAGACCAGGTCGTCGACGTAAACAAGGATGTAGAACGGAGTCTGGCCAGCACGAACGAAGAGTGAAGGGTCTGCGGAAGACGGAAAGAACTGCAGGTCAGCAAGCGTAGCACGGAGAGTGTCGTGCCACTCACGGGGAGCCTGGCGCAGGCCGTAGACGGGGCGCCGCAGGAGCCACTGGGTCCCAGGAGGGAAGGTGCCAGTGAAGCCCTGAGGACGACGCAAGTAGACCTGCTCGTGTAGGCTGCCCTGAAGGAAGGCAGTGGAGAAGTCGAGGGAGTGGAGCTCGTAGTCACGCTGAGCAGCTAGGTGTAACAGAACCCGAAGATTAGTCATCTTCGGGGTCGGAGCGAAGGTCTGGAAGAAGTCCACCCCCTCGCGCTGACTGAAGCCTCTAGCCACATAGCGCGCCTTGAAGACAGGCGGCTCTCCAGGAGGGCGCTTCACCTTGAAGAGCCAGCGGCCATCGACTACGTTCACCCCAGGTGGGGGAACTGCGTCGACGAAGGTGCCGGTGGATCTCCAATATGCCATCTCCTGCTCCATGGCAGCTATCCACTGCGAGGCCCAGGGTCCCGAAGTCGCCTCAGCGTAAGTGCGAGGGGTCGGGATGTCGAAAGCGTCTGGGTCCCCCTCAGGGACTAGCAGCATGGAACAGAGATGGGGAGCAGACTCGGAGAGGAAAGCAAGCTCGAACTGGCGGTCCTCCAGGACGTCACTGCCAAGGGCAGGAGCACCCCCGACAGACGGAGGACAGGCAGGGTCAGAGACCAGAGCGGAGGCGTAGTCAAGGCGGCGGGTAGAGGCGAAGTCAGCGACAGCAGCGACAAGAGCGTCAAGGCACGAGGCCGGAACAGACGGGTCGGTAACGAGAGAGGCAAGGACCCGAGGAACAAGGGGACGAGCGGCACGAAGGTAGTCAGACAGCGGGGGGGGTGCAACAACAAGGGAGGACGGAGGAGGCGACGGCAGAAGGGGAGGACGAGACGCGTGGGAACGAAGCAACATAGGGTGGGAGCGCAAAACAGGCGAGGCAGGACGAGCACGGGAGGGACGGTGAGACCAGACGTGCGACGGAGGAGTCGGGTCAGGAGACAGAGGAGGGGACACAAGAGGGGAACGAGGGGGGAGACGGGCAGGGGACGAGTCCGGCGGAGGGAAGACAGGGCCATGGACAGGAAGAGGAGGAGACGGTCGGGGAGGAACCGACGCAGGGTCGGGGGACGAAAGGCCGAGCAGGCGAAGGGCTGACACCGGCGGGGACTGCTGCTGCGGCGGCACAACGGCGACATCTGGACCGCAAGCTGCGCCTCGGCTACCATCGGCACTCTCCACACCAGCACCCCCAGAGGGACCACCCCCAGGGCTACCGGGACGAGCACCCCCAGAGTCAGCGAACGGGTGCAGCGACGGCGGAGGTGGCGGCGGCGGCGGCCGCGACAACGACGGCTGCAGCGGCGGCAGCGGCGGTGGAGGGGGGGACTGGGGAGAGGACGCCAGGGGAGGGGCGACCGGCAAGGACTGAACAGGAGGGCCACCAGAGTCAGAAGGCTCCTCAACCGGGTCCACCGACAGAAGCGGGGTGACGTGGGACACACCAGAGGGGGCGGGACGGGGAGGAGGAGGAGGAGGGGCAGGGACGACCGGGGAAGGAGTGACCAGGAACAGGGGGGGGGTAACCGGGGGACCACGGTGGGGAAGCGACGGTAGAAGGAGACAGACTCGTCAAAGGTGACGTCACGAGAGTGAAAGAAGCGGTGAGACGGCGGGTGGTAAAAGTGCCAGTCGGACGCGTCAAGGGGAAAACCGAGGAAGACGCAGGGAAGGGTGCGGGCAGTGAGCTTGTCCGTGCCGGAGGCACGGACATGAGCAAGGCAGCCCCAGACGTGGAACGCAGACGCGTCACCAGGAGACCCAGTCCAAAGACGGGTCGGCGAAACCTGCGGCTGCTGAGGGTGCGGCCACAAGTTAAGCTGGTGAGAAGCGTAGCGTATAGCGAACGGCCACAGAAAATGGGGTGCACCGGCATGGATCATGGAGGTGCGAGCCACCTCCATGACCAAACCGATGCGTCGCTCAGCGACCCTATTCTGCTGTGGGGAGTCCGGTAGGGTGAACGTCTGGGTGATGCCCTCCGCACGACAAAAGCGACCAAGGACACATGAGGCAAACTCGCCACCACGGTCTGAGTGAAGACGCAAGACAGGGAGACCGCGGTGGACACGCGCAGAGACAAGCCAGGGGATGAGAGCTCCAGGCACGTCGGCCTTGCGCTCCAGGGGAAAGACTGTGGTGTAACGAGTGAAGTCGTCGACAAGCACAAGGAAGTAGCGCTCTCGACGCGGCCCAGGGACGGGGGCGGGGCCCCAGACGTCCAGGTGCAGGGTCTGCAGCGGCGCGGCAGTAGGGGGAAACGAGGAGGAGTGAGGGGCACGGCGAAGCCGACCCTCGACACAAGGCGTGCAAGGTGGGGCTGGGGAGGAGGGAAACGCGGGGAGGGAACCTGGGAGACCAAGGACGAGACGGTGCTGGGACATGTGACGCAGACGCGGGAGTGCAGGGTGACCTAGGCGGTGGTGCCAAAGGAGGGTCGGGTGAGTGAGGGACCGACAGGAGCAGGCAGCAGCAACCTGGGTGAGCGCTCCAGCCGGGGGGGTCACGGTGTCCAGAGTGAACAGGCCGGACACCGGGTCCCGGGGGAACGTGGACAGGGGGGCACCAGTGGCGGCCTCGGTACAGACAACATACCGCTCGTGACCAGGGAACGTAGTGGTGACGCCAAGGTCCTGGAGGCAGCCGACACCAACTAGGTTCCTGGAGAACGAGGGGATATGCAGACCTGTGAGAGAGCCCGAAGGAACCGCCGGACAGGGAAGGGTGGTGGAACTGCGGGCGACTACCGGACCGCCGGAGGGGTCAGCAAGAGAAACGGCAGCTGGAACAGGAAGCGGCGTCAGGGTGGTGGAGTCGCGGAAGAAACACTGAGAAGCGCCAGAGTCCAAGGTGAAGGAAAGCGAAGCAGAGGCGTCTGGCGACGGAACGACGGCGGAAGCACCAAGACTACACAAAGCAGGGGATCCTACGCCTGACGCAGCAGGAGAGGCTAAGCTAGGCACACCTACACTAGGCAATAGTGAGTAATAGGCGGGAAGCACACTAGAGTCATCAGCATACATCACATGCAGAGCAGAAACAATGGCATCCATGTCCATATCAAAAATCTGAATCTTACGACTGAGCAAACTGTGCCAGTCCGGGAGGTCTGGCGACGGGCCGAAGCGCTGACGAAAGAGGTCGTCCAGGCGACGAAAACAGCGGGGAGTGGAGTGACCGAATTAACCGCAGACGAAGCCGCGGCGAGGACCGGTCTGGATCTGGTACTGACAACGCCCGCCGCCAGAGCCACCACTCGGCACACCACCACGCGCCCGACCACCGCCTGCGCCGGGCCACCCGGGCGGGAGGACACTCGTCTGCCGCGTCTGCGACTGCTGCTGCGGCTGCTGCGAAGGCTGCGACTGCGGCGGCTGCTGCGGTTGCTGCAACTGCAGGGGCGGCGGCTCAGCTGGACTGGGCAGGGTCCCCTCGTCCGCTCCAGCACCAGACGACCCGACACCACCACCACCCCCTCCCGCACCCCCGCCGCCGCCGCCGCGCCCAGCCTTGGGGCGGCGGCCCTTCCCCGAACGAAACTGCGCTGCAGCAGCAGTCTCAGCCACTGCGGCAGAGCCGTCGGAGAAGGTACACTGGGCGGGGGCACAACCCTGAAAGATAGGGACCGGCACGACACCGCTCGCCTGGGCGATGGAGCGGTGACGGGTCTCTATCACAGTCAGGGTGTCTACAAAGTCAGTGAGGGTGAGGTCTGCGGGGTGAATGCTAAGGAAGCGGTCACGGGCGACAGCAAGGCGGTCAGGGAGGCGGGTGGCAAGCAGGTAGAGGGTAGAAGTAATGGGCGGCTGGTGGGCTCTAAGCTGTGCATCAGTGCAGGCTGCGCGCCAGGTCTCATCTATCGAGCGCAGGTGGGCAGCGAGGTCAGAGACAGTGGGGAAAGATGCAAGGTCAGGAAAGAGCATCGGGAGGATCAGGCGACCCACCGAGGCAGCCGGAGGGGTGGAATAGCGCTGGATGACAGCATCTAAGTATGCCTGAGCAATAGTGATAGACCTAAAGCGAGGGCGCTCGGACGGGGGAAGGGCGTTGCTAATGGCAAGCTGGGCGACAGCATCGCGAGAAAGCCAGACAGAGCGCGCACGAGCAGTGGGAGCAGTGGATTCGCGCTCAGTGGGTGTGGAGTCAGCGGGCAGAATAGCAGGGGGGTCTGGGCAGGGGAGCGTACCGTCAAGGTGTGCGGAAAGCGGTTCACCATCCTGCCGCTGGCCAGTGAGTTGGCTACGGAGGTCGGCAAGCCACGCCTCGAACTCCAGGGGCTGGCCTTCAGCGTCGAAGCGAAGCTCCGCCGCCATCAGGAACAGTGCAGTGCGGTGCAGGGCAGTGCAGCAAGGTGGAGTGCGGTGCCGTGCGGTACAGTGCGGCGCAGTGCGGTGCAGGGCAGTGCAGCAAGGTGGAGTGCGGTGCCGTGCGGTGCAGTGCGGTGCCAGGCAGGACAGGGTGGTGGGGGGCAGTGCAGTGCGGGGCAGTACGGTGCAGGGCAGTGCAGGGCAATGCCGGGCAGGGCAGTGCAGGGCACGGCGGGGGGGGGGGGGGGGGGACCGTATTAGTGAGGAGGACCGGGGCCGGGGCAGGGACGAGAGCAGGGGCCGGGCGGGTGCGACGGGGCCGGGCGGGCGCGACGGGGCCGGGCTGGTGCGACGGGGCCGGGCTGGTGCGACGGGGCCGGGCGGGTGCGACGGGGCCGGGCGGGCGCGACGGGGCCGGGCTGGTGCAACGGGGCCGGGCGGGCGCGACGGGGCCGGGCTGGTGCGACGGGGCCGGGCAGGTGCGTCGGGGCCGGGCTGGTGCGACGGGGCCGGGCCGGTGCGACGGGGCCGGGCGAGCAGGACGGTAGCCCAGGAGGGGCGCACCGGGGCTGGGCGGGCGCGACAGGGCCGGACGGGTGCGACGGGGCCGGGCGGCTGCGACGGGGCCGGGCAGGGGGCGACGGGGCCGGGCGGGTGCGACAGGGCCGGGCGGGCGTGACGGGGCCGGGCTGGTGCGACGGGGCCGGGCGGGGGCGACGGGGCCTGAAGGCGTGACGGGGCCCAGGAGGGGCTCGACGCGGCCCAGGAGGGGCGCTACGGGGCCTAGGAGGGGCGCGACGGGGCCCAGGAGGGGCGCTACAGGGCCCAGGAAGGGCGCGACGGGGCCCAGGAGGGGCGCTACGGGGCCTAGGAGGGGCGCGACGGGGCCCAGGAGGGGCGCTACGGAGCCCAGGAGGGGCGCAACGGGGCCCAGGAGTGGCGCTACGGGGCCCAGGAGGGGCGCGACGGGGCCTGGGAGGGGCGCGACGGGGCCCAGGAGGGGCGCTACAGGGCCCAGGAAGGGCGCGACGGGGCCCAGGAGGGGCGCTATGGGGCCCAGGAGGGGCGCGACGGGGCCCAGGAGGGGCGCTACGGAGCCCAGGAGGGGCGCTACGGGGCATGGGAGGAGCGCGACGGGGTCCAGGAGGGGCGCTACGGGGCCCAGGAGGGGCGCTACAGGGCCCAGGAAGGGCGCGACGGGGCCCACGAGGGGCGCTACGGGGCCTGGGAGGAGCGCGACGGGGCCCAGGAGGGGCGCTACGGGGCCCAGGGGGGGGCGCGACGGGGCCTGGGAGGGGCGCGATGGGGCCCAGGAAGGGCACGACGGGGCCCAGGAGGGGCGCTACGGGGCCCAGGAAGGGGCGCGACGGGGCTAGGGGGGTCGCGACGGGGCTAGGGGGGGGGGGGGCGAGCAGAAGCGGTAGGTGGGGGGGGGGATCCTACCTACGCGTGATACCATATCAAAATTGGAGAAGAGAATGTTGGATAGAGTGACAGTACACACAAATATACCTAAGTGTTGTACCCTCTAAGAGGCGACCCTATACTATCAGAAACTGAGAAGTGAATGATAGATAGAGTGTACACACAGATATACCTAAGTGTTGTACTCTCTCAGAGGCGACCCTATACAGTCTATACAAACATGACATACACATATTTGACACACCCCCTAGACTGCATAGGGGAATGCCCTAAACAAACAGCTCAGGGCGGCACTACTAGTCCAACCTCTGAGACAAGGGTCTAAGAGACCAGTCAGAAGGAGTACAAACAAGGCAAGAACAAGAGCAGGGCGGCACTACTAGTCCAGCCACTGAGAGAGGACACAAGTCCAGTCTGAGTATACGTATAAAGGACAGTACAAAGTCAAGGTCCTAGCAAGTGAGAGGCTACTGGAACTAGACCAAGCTGTACACAGTGCCGCTGATGATCTTTAGGCGCAAGCGCCTTCGTAAAGATATCAGCCGTATTGGCACCTGAGGCCAAGTGCACTACGCGAGCCTGACGTCGCTGCTGTAGCTCACGCAGGAGGAAGTACCGCAGCTGAATGTGCTTTGCTCTGCCCTCGAGTCGAGGCTCCTGACACAGGAGGATCATGGCCCTGTTGTCAGCGAACAGGACCGGGGCAGAGCTAGGCCGCTCACCTAAGTCGGTGAGCAAGAAGGTCAGCCAGCGGAGCTCCTGTGCCGCCATGGCACCAGCGTAGATCTCAGCCTCATAGCTGGACTGGGCAACAGACGAGGAGCGGGTAGCTCTCCACGAGACGGCACCTGAGCCAAGGCTGAAGAAGTAGCCCTGGGTAGACCTGAGTGTCTTAGCGTCGTCTGCCCATGAAGCGTCTGTATGTCCAGTAAGGACCACTGGCCTGCGTCCTCCTAGCACTAACCCCATGCCCGATGTACTAGCAAGATAACGCAGAACCCTCTTAGCGGCAGACCAGTGCTGCGGTCGGTGCCTGCCTGTGGCCACAAAGCGAGCTAGGATGCTGAGAGGGTATGCGAGATCTGGGCGAGTGCAAGTCATCAAGTACATGAGGCAACCCACCAGCTCTGCATAGGGGCCGCTGGGCTCTACCAACTCCTCAGACACTGGAGCGGAGAGTCTGTGGTCTACAGGCAGAGGGGTGGGCTGTGCAGAGGAGAACTGAAGGCTGAACCTCTGAAGGACCTGGCGCACCAAGTGTGACTGAGTCAGGGTGATGGTGCGCGCAGCTCTGTCCCTGGAGATCTGCAAGCCAAGGTAACGGCGCAGTTCTCCAAGGTCAGTGCACGTGTGTCTCTTCAGCAGCTCTGCCTTCACTGAGGCCAGTGCGTCCCTGTCAGCTGTGGCAAAGACCAGGTCGTCGACGTAAACAAGGATGTAGAACAGAGTCTGGCCAGCACGAACGAAGAGTGAAGGGTCTGCGGAAGATGGAAAGAACTGGAGGTCAGCAAGCGTAGCACGGAGAGTGTCGTGCCACTCACGGGGAGCCTGGCGCAGGCCGTAGACGGGGCGCCGCAGGAGCCACTGGGTCCTAGGAGGGAAGGTGCCAGTGAAGCCCTGAGGGCGCCGCAGGTAGACTGCTCGTGTAGGCTGCCCTGAAGGAAGGTAGTGGAGAAGTCGAGGGAGTGAAGCTCGTAGTCACGCTGAGCAGCTAGGTGTAACAGAACCCGAAGAGTAGTCATCTTTTGGGTCGGAGCGAAGGTCTGGAAGAAGTCCACCCCCTCGTGCTGACTGAAGCCTCTAGCCACATAGTGCGCCTTGAAGACAGGCGGCTCTCCAGGAGGGCGCTTCACCTTGAAGAGCCAGCGGCCATCGACTACGTTCACCCCAGGTGGGGGAACTGCGTCGACGAAGGTGCTGGTGGATCTCCAAGATGCCATCTCCTGCTCCATGGCAGCTATCCACTGCGAGGCCCAGGGTCCCGAAGTCGCCTCAGCGTAAGTGCGAGGGGTCGGGATGTCGAAAGCGTCTGGGTCACCCTCAGGGACTAGCAGCATGGAACAGAGATGGGGAGCAGCCTCGGAGAGGAAAGCAAGCTCGAACTGGCGGTCCTCCAGGACGTCACTGCCAAGGGCAGGAGCACCCCCGACAGACGGAGGACAGGCAGGGTCAGAGACCAGAGCGGTGGCGTAGTCAAGGCGGCGGGTAGAGGCGAAGTCAGCGACAGCAGCGACAAGAGCGTCAAGGCACGAGGTCGGAACAGACGGGTCGGTAACGAGAGAGGCAAGGACCCAAGGAACAAGGGGACGAGCGGCACGAAGGTAGTCAGACAGCGGGGGGGGTGCAACAACAAGAGAGGACGGAGGAGGCGACGGCAGAAGGGGAGGACAAGACGCATGGGAACGAAGCAACATAGGGTGGGAGCGCAAGACAGGCGAGGCAGGACGAGCGCGGGAGGGACGGTGGGACCAGACGTGCGACGGAGGAGTCGGGTCAGGAGACAGAGGAGGGGACACAGGAGGGGAACGAGGGGGGAGACGGGCCGGGGACGAGTCCGGCGGAGGGAAGACAGGGCCGTAGACAGGAAGAGGAGGAGACGGCCGGGGAGGAACCGACGCAGGGTCGGGGGACGGAAGGCCGAGCAGGCGAAGGGCTGACACCGGCGGGGACTGCTGCTGCGGCGGCACAACGGCGACACCGGGACCGCAAGCTGCTCCTCGGCTACCACCGGCACTCTCCACACCAGCACCCCCAGAGGGACCACCCCCAGAGCTACCGGGACGAGCACCCCCAGAGTCAGCGAACGGGTGCTGCGACGGCGGCGGCGGCGGCGGCGGCAGCGACAACGACGGCTGCAGTGGCGGCAGAGGCGGTGGAGGGGGGGACTGGGGAGGGGACGCTGGGGGAGGGGCGGCCGGCGAGGACTGAACAGGAGGGCCAAAGGTATCTGAGCCAAAGGTCTTGGGTTCAACTCCCAGTGCCAGCGCTGCAGAGGCGCTCGTGTCTTCCACCTATCCTTGCGGGGGGGGGGGGTGTTGAGTGACCCGCTGGGGTTGCCCTTGAGATCCTCGGGGAAGGGCTACAGGTGCAGAGCCTTGGGGGCTATGGGCGCACTTACCCGCTATTCAACAAGCCCTTTTAACCCAGTGGTTAGTGACTGGGTTTCTGACAGTATGGTACCTCTCACATATGCTCGCGAGGTTTGCAAGTGGACGTGTCCCACACGGCCACAGCAGAGGACAGGGCAATCTATTCTGGCAGAGGTGTTAGCGCATGTGGGAATCCTTGTGGTTTTACTGTTAGGCGTGCGTGGCTGGCAGCATGTTTGTAAATGTGCTCGGAGTGTAGCGGAAAACATCTGAAGTTGCTTGCTCAGCAAAAAGCCTTTTGTGGGTTGTGGGAAAATTTTTAGGGTAGTTCTGGCAGGTGGCTGCCTCACAACAGACCATACACAAAAGAGCACGTGAGCTAGTATAGGCTGGAGCTCACGAGCTCCCCACAGCCAGTCGTGGCTCGAGGGTGTTCTCGGAGTCCAATCCGACCCTAACCCGTTGGCTATAAAGAATGGAATAATTGCAGTGAGTTACGCTGGCACTCTTCCAGAGCAGGCGGGGTTGTCATGCAGCACCTTCATCTGCACATCGGGCTTGCAGAGGCCGGCGCAGGTGGGCATGTCCCACACCGCCACAGCAGTGGGCGTGCAGTTATTCTGGCAGAGCGGCCAGCTCATTTCATGAGACACGTCGAATGCCAGCATCCATGCTCCTACAGTCACATCCTCGTTGAGGAACATGCGCAGCCTGCGATGGGACAAAAGAGAGCGCAGAAAGGAGCAGTTTAGAGGCACCTCAATAGTGCAGTCAGTGTCACATGCAAGGTCTAACCTGCCCTTGGAAATAGGGTTGAGAGACTATTAACCACATATTAGGCTGCATGCATGCCCCCCCCCTCTACAACTCACCTGCCCTTGGGAGGTCCACTACCATGGCACCACAAGCTCACCTGCCCTTGGGAGGTCCACTACCATGGCACCACAAGCTCACCTGCCCTTGGGAGGTCCACTACCATGGCACCACAAGCTCACCTGCCCTTGGGAGGTCCACTACCATGGCACCACAAGCTCACCTGCCCTTGGGAGGTCCACTACCATGGCACACAAGCTCACCTGCCCTTGGGATGGCGTGGGAAATATTCACCACGCCCTAAGAAAGCGAGTATCTGGCCATAGGCATGCGCTCAATACAAGGCATGTTCGCTCACTTCCTTATCAGACCAGCCCACACCACCAGGCTCACCTGCCCTTGGGGATGGCGTTGAGAATGTTGACGATGTCGTAAGACAGCGAGTATACGGGGCCGTAGGCGTGCCCGCCTGCACTACAACACACCCCCATTGGGAGGTCCATACCATAGCACCACGGGCTCACATGCCCTTGGTTGGGAATGGCGCCGAGAATGTTGACGACGTCGTAAGACAGCGAGTATATGGGGCCGTAGGCATGCCCGCCCGCACTTCAACACACCCGCCTTGGGAGGTCCATACCATAGCACCACAGGCTCACCTGCCCTTGGGAATGGCGTTGAGAATGTTGACGACGTCGTAAGACAGCGAGTATATGGGGCCGTATGCATGCAAGAAGTACTCCGATCCCAGCAGCCATGACTTGGGCTCAAACCTGTGCAGACGACAGGGGGCGGGAGGCATGGGGAAGGAGGAGGGGAGAGGGAAAGGGAAAACAAAAACGCCGCTGAAAATAAGGTGAAGTACTCGGACACCAGCAGCCACGACTTAGGCTCGAACCTGAGAAAAACGAGAAAAAAACAATTAGAGAAAAAACCACAGGCCAGGAAAAGGGGCCAGAGATAGTCTATTTTTGAGGCGCCTAAAAAAAGGGGCCAGAGATTAAGCTGCGTGGTCTGAGGGAGAGTGCAGATCAGGACGAACTGTACTAGCAGACAGCAGCAGCGACCTTCCTGCAGACAGCAGCAGCGGCCTTTCCTGCAGACAGCAGCAGAGGCCTTCCTGCTGACAGCAGCAGCGGCCTTCCTGCTCGAATGCACTCATGGGATAGTGTGAGAGTGTGGTATCAGTAGGAAGGCCCGACTGCATCGACTGAGATAGCCACCGAAAAGAACGTCCACTTTATGGGCTGTGTCACGGCAGCTTACCACTTTAATTTCGGGTTAGTGAACACAGCTCCTTTCTTCAAGCATCCAAGGTAGGTTCGGGGTGACTTTCTTGTCCTGGAAATGAGGGAGGAGAGGCGATCTGCATGGTGGTTGGGAGAGTCGTGTCATAAGAGATATTCAGTGTGATTAGAACTTAGAAGATATGTATTTACCCATATGTAATCATGTATATATTAGAAGAGATCGTGAACATCATCATCTTGAATAACAGCCACGAGCGCACGCGCGCGCAAGCACACCCTGCATTCAGCTTCGTACCAGGTAGACGTCATAGTGTGCCTACCTAGTTTCAGCTAAATGTCATACTGTGCCTACCTGGTTTCAGCTTAATATCATACTGTGCCAACCTGGTTTCAGCTTCATGTCATACTGTTGCCTACCTGGTTTCAGCCTAATGTCATACTGTGCCAACTTGTTTTCAGCTTGATGTCAAACTGTGGCTACCTGGTTTCAGCTTAATGTCATACTGTGCCTACCTGGTTTCAGCCTAATGTCATACTGTGCCTACCTGGTTTCAGCCGAATGTCATACTGTGCCTACCTGGTTTCAGCTTAATGACATACTGTGGCTACCTGGTATCAGCTTAATGTCATACTGTGCCTACCTGGTATCAGCTTCATGTCATACTGTGCCCTACCTGGTCTGAGGTAGATGTCATCGTCTGCCTTGACATAAAACTCCGCTTCATACAGCTTGAAGAGAGTGGTGAAGTAGATAAGCCTGGGCACGGAGAAAGGTGATAGTGAATGAGAGGCAGGGTGTCAAATAGTCCAAGCGAAGGAGAGGGATGAAGGGTATAGTGGAACAAGGGTGATACAGGAGGCCAACATGGGAAAAAGGACATTAAAGCACGGAGCAGGTTATGTCTTGTTATTGAGAAACAAGTTCTTGAATGCACAGTTAACCCCCCCCTATAGGGGCACTTTTTACCAATGCAAGTGCTGATTTTTGATAACTCAGAGAGCGGCAGAAAGAGCCTTACGTCTAGTGGTTGGGATTCAAATAAGCTCTATCCACAACAATCCACAACAAGTCCCGTTCGGAGGCGCCTAAAAACTATACCTGCTTGCTGCTTTGAACGATTGCCTAGTTAGTTGTTGGATACCATTGAAGAAAGATCACCTCAAAAAGCACCTTACGTCTTTTGAGTCAACTAAAAAAAGTCAACTATACCTGCTTGCTGCTTTGAACGCCTGTCTTGTTGTTGGATACCATTGAAGAAAGATCACCTCGAAAAGCACCTTACGTCTTGTGGTTGAGATTCAAATAAGCTTCATCCACGTCTATCCGCAGGAAGTCCCCGTACGTGCTGTTCTCCGCCTGAATAACTCCTCATCCACGGCGCTCCTCGTGTGCCCGATGATGAACCGAAACACCAGCCCTGTCGCCGCTTCCAGGCTGTGAGGTGGAGAGGAGCAGACACACAGCACTGGACATCACATCACGTGAAGGCACATGAGCGTGCAGGAAGTCCCCATACGTGCTGCTCTCGCCCTGCAGCGATTCTCGTCCCACGATCTCCTGGTGTGCTCCATGATGAACCCGAACATCAGCCGTGTCGCCGCCTCCAAGCTGTGAGGCATTACGAAGAGGAAAGGAGAGGAGCAGACACAGAGCACAGCACAGCAGCACAGCAAATCACGACGCATGAGCGTGGATGAAGTCCCCATAGGTGCCGTTCCCTGCCTGTAGCAGGTCCTCATCCCCTGCGCTCCTCGTGTTTTGACTCAGCTCCATGCGCTCCTCAAAACTAGTCCCCATGCGTGCCGTTCTCTGCCTGTAGCAGGTCGTCATCCACTGCGCTCCTCGTGCGCCCCATGATGACCCGAAACACCAGCCCTGTCGCTACTTCCTAACTGTGAGAAGACTCAAGAAGAGGAAAGGAGAGGAGCGGAGATCGCACAGCACAGCATTTCAAAAGTATCCCCTGCTTCGCCAGGCTCGCTCACTACCTCACGAAAAAATTGGTGCGTTTCAAAAGTAACCGAATCTCGCGACCCACCGCTTGAGATCCTACGTCCATCACCCTCCTGGTATGCCCTGGTACCCCCTGGTATGCCCTGAAACTTCCTGGTATGCCCTGGCATCCCCTGGTATGCCCTGGTATGCCCTGGTATGCCCTGGTACCCCCTGGTAGGCTGCTGGCGCTCGTGATCCCCTGGACTGGAGTGGCTGGGAACCGCATCTGAGACATTTTTGAGAGTTCTCAAGAATGACTCCGAAATCAACAATAATGAGTGCTACCGCTCGTATCACCTCCGAATTCTCAAGTGCGTATCAGTATTCCAGTCAACCACCACTGGATGGAAAAACCCAGTGAGTGCATGTGACCCTCGGGGGTGGCTGGAAGCCACGTCTCGCGAAGCAGCCAGAGGTGACCTTTTTTAGAACCCGGTAAAACGAGACCTACGGCGTCAGCTCTGAGTCGACGTACAATTCACCTACAAATCACCTACAATTCACCTACAAATCACCTACAATTCACCTACAAATCACCTACAATTCACCTACAAATCACCTACAATTCACCTACAATTCACCTACAATTCACCTACAATTCACACACAATTCACCTACAATTCACCTCGCTCCACGCCTCAACTATGTGACCCACAGCGACCTCTCAGTCATCTTCCCGTGCGACTGGCAACCATGCATAAGTTGACCTTTGAGTCGTCTCTACCGGTGCGACCGGCAACCATGCATAAGTTGACTTTTGAGTCGTCTCTTCCGGTGCGACTAGGAACCATGCATAAGCAACCTCGCCCCTACCTATGCGACTCATAGACCCGCCGCTTGTGAGCCTCCGGCGTGGCCGGAAGCCATAGAAGAGCCACATCGCGTGTACCCGTGTCCGTAGAGACCCACACCCACCGCTCGTGGTCCTGGGACGTGGCGGGGAACCACGTCCCTTGAAGCAGCCAGAGGTGCGAGCCGACTCCCACATAAGCCACCTCGGGACTACCGACATGACTCGCTAGCACCCACCGCTCGTGGTCTTGGGGCGTGGCGGGGAACCACGTCTCGCGAAGCAGCCCCCGCCTCTTGCGGCTGCCGAAACCGGTCTGCACCCCGACGAACCCAAGCACGCGCTTCCGACCCGGATATTTCAACCGATCTATACTCCTCTCGTCCAACCCTTGGGGTATTCCGGTGGCGGTGCGAGGGTGTTGTTCACTGGAACGGGTTTTAACTCTGATTTAGACCAAGGGGGAGAGGAGCAGCTATATCTAAGAACGACGATCTCTGTAAGGAAGAAGAGCGAGATTGCTGGGAGTAGGACGAGCCAGCGACGAAGGCCGGCGAATCTGCTGTGGGGGTACAGCAGAGGGACCAGGAAACGCGCCACGACGCTAGCACCCGCGGCGCGACAGACGTTTGACCTTTAGATCCCATGTCTAGTCTAACGCCTACGAACGAATTCGGTGAGCAGCATGTAACGGGATCTTTTTTTCTGGGAGGAAATCGAGGGAGTCAATTCCTGAGCCGCCATGGATGCATTGTAGCGCGGATTTGAGTGTTCATCTGGTTGCGGAAACATGAGGTTCTTCCATAGCAGATACATTTTTAAAGGGGGAATGTCTGCATGCATGATTAGACCCCATTTCTATCCTTCGATTGTGTTTTCATATGATTGTGGTGCGTGTTGAAGTATACTCGACAGAGTTACCACTTAAGCATTCTTGATAATAGTGCGTATAGTATATGCCATGTGCTTCGTATAATTGATTCGTGGTTTACTCCAATAGTGTGTATCTGCCATGTGCTTGCAGTGGAATTTGCCATCATCGCTGGGCAGTGTTTGTCACAACCGCTAACGAGTGTGCTAAAAGGGCTTATTAAAGCCCGCGATTAAAATAGCATTCAAGACAAGCTTTTAATTTCCACTTGAAAGGGATGCCATCCAACTTTGTAGCTTGTGGAACTCACACATAGATTCAGATTTAGGATGAAACCAGAAAGTGGCGAAACGACTTGCGTGCCAAAAAGCTGACCGGAAACGTGCATGCGACCTACGCTGCGACCGTAAAAGTCGCACAACATTTGGGATGGCGGGAAAACAAAACAGTCGCACGCAGCTTGCTCAACCCAGCTCAATCTACGAGTAGAGCAACCCATAGCACACACAATCGTGTCGCCCTAGAGCAAGAGAACCTTACGCAACTGGAACGCACTGTGGGTGCACCTCCAGGGCAGGGACGTCATCAGCGACCAAAGCGGCGGTAAGACAATAGACAGACGCGCATAGGCGGGCACGTATGTAGCCATGTTGTGACCAAGGTAGGGAGACGCGCAATGGCAGGGAGACGGGCAAATGCAGGGAGACGCGCTAAGGCAGGGAGACTCGCTAAGGCAGGGAGACGCGCTAAGGCAGGGAGACGCGCTAAGGCAGGGAGACGCGCTAAGACAGGGAGACGCGCTAAGGCAAGGAGACGTGCTAAGGCCGGGAGACGCGCTAAGGCAGGGAGACGCGGTAAGGCAGGGATACGCGCTAGGGCAGGGAGACGCGCTAAGGCAGGGAGACGCGCCAAGGCAGGGAGACGCGCTATGGCAGGGAGGCCCACAAAGGCAGGGAGATGCGCTATGGCAGGGAGACGCGCTAAGGCAGGGATACGCGCTAAGGCAGGGAGACGCGCCAATGCAGGAAGACACGCTATGGCAGGGAGACGTGCTAGGCAGGGAAACGCGCTAACGTTTGCGCGACGCGCACAGGCAGGGAGACGCGCAACGACAGGGAGACACGCTAAGCGTGGGGGTGAACAATGAAGCAGCGCCTACGATTCCCCACGTGTACCTCTGTAATGAGCATGCTTCTCCATTCCCATGCGACTACGCTCCCGCTTCAGGCACCCCTACCCGCCAAAGCCCCTCCCAACCCCACCATCTCCCCTAACAGCCGGGCCATCACCAAGAATGCGGACGTGCCGCAACATACTCATGTCTCCGTTCCCAACCCAGGGACTGGACCACGTCTCTGCAGTCCGCGGGATCCCATTATCTCACAGACCACCCCCCCCGCCCCTCTGCCCCCCCTCCCCCCCCCATCTCGCCCTTCTCAGCCCTCTTGAAAGCCGAGATGACCTCATACAGCCCCGCACCCATCCTCCCCTCCTCGCGCCAACCCCCAACAACCCCCCCCCCCCCCCATCCATGCCATGCCCTGCCCTGCCCTGTCCAGTCCTGTCCCCCCCGCCCTGCCCTGTCTTGCCCTGTCTTGCCCTGTCCTGCCCTGCCCTGCCCTGTCTTGCCCTGTCCTGCCCTGTACTGTCTTGTCCTGTCCTGCCCTGTCCTGTCCTGTCCTGTCCTGTCTTGTCCTGTCCTGTCCTGTCCTGTCCTGTCCTGTCCTGTCCTGTCCTGTCTGTCCTGTCCTGTCCTGTCCTGTCCTGTCCTGTCCTGTCTGTCCTGTCCTGTCCTGTCCTGTCCTGTCCTGCCCTGTCCTATCCTGTCCTGTCCTGCCTTGTCCTGTCCTGTCCTGTCCTGTCCTGTCCTGTATTGTCCTGTCCTGTCCTGTCCTGCCATGTCCTATCCTGCCCTGCCCTTGTATGTCCTGTCCTGTCCTGTCGCTCCCTTGTCCCGTCAGCAGCCTGAGGAGCAACCAGCTGAAGAGGTGTGAGTTGCAACTAGTTGAGTTGTTCCCTTTTCTGGTATCTGTCCCCCCCCAGCAGTCTGAGGAGCAACCAACTGAAGGGGTGTGTGTGCTGCAATCAGTTCAGTTGTTCCCTTTTCTCGTCTCTGTCCTCTCCCTCGGCAGCCATGAGGAGCAACCAGCTGAAGGGGTGTGTGCTGCTGGCTGCAGTCCATCCCGTGCTGCTTTCAGCCATTTTATCCCTCTCCTGCCCCCCCGTGCCACATGTCTCGGTCATCGTGTCCGTCAAAGGACAAGACTGCCACCGATGCGTTATTCTGCATCCAGGTGCTGGACCCTGCCGGCATTTGCACGCATGTTTCCTAAACAGTACACTGTCCTCGAGCAGTGAAGTGCTGAATGGCTTTGGGCTCAGGGGCGAGAGTGAGGAGGCGCATGCCTTGCGCACGGTTGAGAATGTGATTCGGGTGTGTGCTGCGAAGGTGCACCGCAGAGTCGCCGGATGGTATTCCGTTGCAGCTTAGGCACCATCGCTTCCGCTGCTACTTGGACTACTCCGGGCTGCTGGGGGATCACATGTATGCAAGAGTGCGGCTGCCCTGGCTGATACATATTACGTTTGGCTCACTATACATGGAAGAGGGGAAGGATTGTACGAGAATTGTAAGGCGGAGGAGGGGCAGAATTTGTAGAATACTGGGAGGTACCACCAGAGATTGACTTTGAGATGCAATCATTCGATTAGGCAACGCTCTGTGAACGCTATCGGTATGTAACTGCATATCGTATTCCAGGATTCAGGGGCATATCCCTAGGTTGCAGGTGTGTTTGTGGAAAAAATGCAAGCACCAAGTTGCAAGCACTAATGGCAATTACACAAGGACTGCTGAATGCCATGCACCAAAGAACAGTAGGCGAGAGGAGAGATCTGCCTTCATAGCCCTCATAAATCTCAAGTGTCACTCTTCGCTTCGCCGTCGCGTCAGGGGCGACATGACAGGACGGGCACTCTATGTGCCGACCTGCAAGCAAGGCCCCGCTAGTCGCAAAACCAGAGGACTGCACTTTTCAGGGGAGCATCGTTCCTGAGCAAGGCCATGGCGTGTAGTGTTATCTACCGGACTGATAGCATTTTTATTGGAATACACCGAGCTGATAAGGGAATACAAGGAAAATGGAGATGGCGCAGGAATGGCCACAAGCATAGCCTCAACTGCAATGGGTAAGTGTCACAGGATCGAATGTGTCGAGGAAAGGTTGCACTATCGATCAGTACAAGGCGCTTTTATACTTCCAGAGTACATCAGGTAACCAGGTTTATCTTATCCTAAGGGAATAGACCCTTCTAGAAGATAGAATCACCCTGCGTATAGCCACGCGAGGCTATTGGCTTTAAGGGATTACGCAGGATTACGCTAGATAGCGCTAGAACATTCCATGCCTGGTCGGTGATATAATTATAATAAGGAAGAAACCAAAGGATAATGGAAAATGGGAATATGAGGCAAAAGGATGAGATAAAAAGAGAATGAAATGAAGATGAAATAGGAAAAGGCCAAGTGGTGTAACGGGTCGTACTCTCACACTTCCCCCCCTCAAAGCTGGGTGGTAGAAGTAACACCCTGCTTGACAAGGTAGTCATGCAGAGGACGACGGGCGTTACCCATGTCGGACTCAGGACCCAGCTGTCCTCAGAAGGATCATAACCCTTCCAACGGATGAGAAGCTCCACGGTGCCATTCCGACGACGGCGGTGTGCAAGCACGGACTCGACCTCGTACTCGGGTTCATTCTGGACGAGGACGGGCGGCGGCGGCGGCGGTTGGCGTCCGACGAAGATCGTGTTAGGATCCGATAGGGCTTCAGAAGTTGGACATGGAAGGCGTTGTGAATCTTCCAGGTAGCTGGCAGGCGTAAGCGGAAGGTAACAGGAGTGACCTGTGCTTCAACGAGAAAAGGCCCGCAGAAGCGAGGTCGAAGTTTAGATGGGAGATGGCTGATGTCCAGGTTGCGGGTGTCAAGAAGCACCTGGTCTCCCACCGTGATGGTGTGGTCGTTGCGATGGCGATCGGCCTGGCGCTTCTGTTGCTGTTGAATGTCAAGGAGGCGCTTATGGGTCCGATCCCAAAGTTGATGCATGGTTGTGATGAAATCATGTGCGGTTGGACTGTAGCTGATGCTGTCGGTTTTTGTGGTGTGAGTGGGTGGCGTCCGTAGCAGAGGAAGAACGGCGTCTGTCCAGTAGCGGCATGTGTAGCATTGTTGTAAGCAAACTCGAGTACGGGCAGGTGCAAGTCCCATTTGGAGATGTCGTCCTTGCAGGCTGCTCGGAGGAGTTGCTCAACAATTTGGTTGAGGCGCTCGGTCTGTCCGTCTGTCTGCGGATGGTATGCGGATGACATGGCGAGTTTGGTGCCGAGCAGAGACATAAGTTCCTTCCAGAACTTGCTAGTGAACTTGGGGTCTCGGTCGGAGATGAGTGTAGTTGGGATGCCATGCTGTGAGATGATGTGACGAACGAAGAGCTGTGCTGTCTCCTCGGTGCGTGCCGTCGTGTGTGTCGGGATGAAGTGTCCCATTTTGGAGAACTTGTCAATGACGACAAGGATGGCGTCATGACCGCTGGAGGTAGGTGGTAACCCGGTGATGAAGTCCAGGCTAACCACTTGCCATGGTTGTTCTGGGACAGGAAGAGGCTGCAGTAGTCCCGCCTTTTTCTGCTTGCTGCTCTTCATCCGCTGACATGTATCACACGAGGTGACGAATTTCTGGACGTCGTCTGCCATATGGGGCCAGTAGTAGTGTTTGGCGATACCGGTGAGCGTCTTGTTGCTACCGAAGTGTCCGGCGTAGAGGACGTCGTGGTATTCTTCGAGTAGTAACTGGCGCAAAGGAGGGTAATTGGGTACCCAGATTTTTGTTGATCCTTTCCGGTACGCGATGTCACTGTCCCACTGTAGCAGATGTCGCTTTTCTGCCAAGGGAATTTCGGGGTCGATGGCGTACCCGTGTGTGAAGAGTCCCTTGAGTAGTGGATTCATCCCTTCGACCTGAATCGCGGCAACGTGTGCAGGCCGGCTGAGAGCGTCTGCTTTGTTCTTGTGGCCGGGCTTGTACACGATGTCGTAGTGGAAGTGTGTCTCGAGGAAGTCGATCCACCGGACCTGCCGCCTGGAAAGGTTGGGTTGTGTCTTCAAATATTTCAGGCTGCAGTGGTCGGTGTAGACGGTTGTTCTTCGTCCTTCGAGATAGCATCTCCACGCTTTGAAGGCGATGATGATAGCAAGAGCCTCTTTGTCGTGTATCGGGTAGTTGAGTTCTGCCCCGTGCAGTTTCTTGCTGAGGTAGGCAATTGGTTGCAGTCCATTCCCTGGTCTTGCATCAAGACTGCTCCCACGCCTGATCACTGGCGTCTGCTTCATGACGTAGTCACGTTCGGGATCTGGCAAGATGAGCACCGGTGCGGACGTTAGTGCTTGTTTCAGCTGCTCCACGGCTTCCTGGTGCTTCGTCTCCCATTTGTAGGGCGTGTTCTTCTTCAGCAGATTCGTGAGTGGTGCCGCGAGTTTCGCATACTGTGGCACGAACCTGTTGTAGTAATTAGCGAAGCCTAGGAACTGCTGCAACTCCTTCACGTTCTCGGGTGTCTTCCACGTACGTACGGCTTCGATTTTCTTGGGGTCGACGTGAACTCCTTGAGCGCTCACCATGTGTCCTAGAAATTGGACCTTTTCCAGGGCGAATTCGCTCTTGGACAGTTTGACGTAGAATCGTTTCGTCGAAGAATTTCGAAGACGCGTCGCAGGTGTTCGACGTGCTGCTTCATGTCGCGCGAGTAGATGAGTATGTCGTCCAGGTACACCACCACGCATTCGTCCAGAAGTGGTCGTAGAATGTGGTTCATTTCGGCTTGGAACGTTGCCGCGCGTTGGTGAGTCCGAACGGCATGACCAAATACTCGTACGATCCGTACCGAGTTCGGAAAGCAGTTTTGTGGATAGAGTTGTCCGCCATCCGTATCTGCCAGTATCCGGACCGCAGATCCAGTTTGGAAAATACCGTAGCTCCCCGAAGCTGGTCAAGCAGGTCATCGATTCGCGGTATCGGATATTTATTCTTGATGGTCTGCTTGTTAAGAGCTCGGTAGTCGATGCACATGCGCAGGCTTCCGTCCGGTTTCGGTGTGAAGAGTACTGGGGCACCGTACGGCGAAGTGGATGGTCGGATGAGTCCTTTGGCTAGGAGATACTCGATCTGTTTTTCATGTCGGTCAGCTCCGTAGGGCTGAGCCGGTATGGTGCTCGGAAGGTCGGCTTCGAACCCGGTTCCTCCACGATCTCGTGTTGATGCGTTCGGTATGGCGGTAGCTCGTTCGGA